TTGGGCTGATTAGTCGACATGATGGTTTGTTATCGAAGTTGTCCTTGTGGTCCTTCAAAGTAATGAAGGCTTCCCTCTCTGCCAATTTATCTATGCGGTCGCCCAGTCCAAGACTTTTAGCAATTCTTTTCGCTTCGCGATTGAACGAAGACATAAATACGATTAGGAACGATGATAAGCTTACCGTCAAGGCTGATAAGACTACAAATTATTACAAGATGGGAAAAGATGACTATGTAAATCTTGTCAGGGCGAATGTCACCAAAACATACAAGAAAACCGAGCAAAAGGAAGTAGCGGAAATCAATCGCGAAGCGAAAAGAATTGCTAAAAGTCTTGGACTGGGCGACCGCATAGATAAATTGGCAGAGAGGGAAGAAGAGATAGGACATATAAGTAAAGTGATCCTCGACAGAATCGTCGGTAAAGTCATAAGCGCGACGGGATTCAACCTGTGGAAAAGCACAGACGCCGTACTGGACTGGTATAAGAAAATCCCAAGCAAGCAAGAATCGAGCTTCATAAATTTTGACATTGTGGAGTTCTACCCCTCGATAATGGAAAAGCTTCTCCTGAAGGCCCTAGGGTTCGCGGAAAACTACGAGAACATTAGCAGCAAGGAGAAAGATATCATCATCCACGCGAAACAGACAGTGGTATTCAACGACCAGGTACCGTGGAAAAAGCGTAATGCAGACAGCAAATTCGATGTCACGATGGGCAGTTTCGACGGCGCGGAGTCATGCGAGCTGATGGTAGCATATATGCTGTCGATCCTGAAACCAAAGTACGGAAATAGAGTGGGAGTGCCTCAGCAAGAACATCGTGTACCAGGCCACCGTCACGAGCGAAGGCAGGAAGGAGGCATACGTCGGGCTGACATCCACAACCTTCAAGGCGAGACTGGCGAACCACAAGCAGTCATTCAGATCCGAGAGCAAGAGGGCGCAAACAGAGCTAAGTAAACATATATGGGACTTAAAGGACGAGGGGAAAGACTATGAAATCAAATGGGACATTGTTCAGAAAGCACTGCCATACTCTAACGTAAACAAGAGATGCAATTTGTGTATAGCAGAGAAGTACATAATCATATGTAGGCCAGATCTAGGTACACTGAATAAGAGAAGCGAAATCGTCTCCAAGTGCAGGCATCGAGACAGATGTGTTCTTACTTCAGTGACGTAAACGCGTACTAACTTCAATGACGTAACGCGCGTAACGCGTGCGCGCGCTTGATTCGAAATAAGGTAAGATGCTACTTGTATTCTATTTTTCGTCATTCTGCTGATGAGTGCCTTATGGTACGAAACAGTCTGTCCAGAAGAGAGATATGCCAAAGTTTGTTTAACTCATATTCTGAATTCATGCATATATATATATATATATATAGATTCTGTTTTGTGTGAACACAAAGTGAAATTTTTTTATGTACAGGTGCAAACTAAGTTCTTGGCTATAAAGGACATCCCTAATGGAACTGCCGAAACAGTGACCAACAACATCAACATGTTCATGGATGACAACAAGCTGGAGAGAAGCAAATTTGTTGGATTTGGGTCCGATGGTGCAAGTGTAATGGTGGGCAGTCAGACTGGTGTAAGTAATTCTGCAAGTTTTCACACAAAAAAGCCTTTTGATTGTTTAATTTAAATTATGCTCAACGTTTGATAATTTTACTTGCTGGTCTCGACAAGATTAAAACAAGAATCACCGTGTCTTGTGAACATTCACTGTGTTGCTCACAGACTGGCACTTGTATCAGCCCAAGCATCACATGGGATTACATACCTCACAAAGTTTAAGGTCAACCTGTCGGCACTGTTTTCGTTTTACAGTAGGTCTGCTGTTTGATCTGCTGCCCTGCATGAAATCCAGGTAAAGTCTTTATGACTGTTTCTAAATCTGTCATATTTTATTTAATTTTGCACATACGTGTATACTATATATACCGGTTTTATTTCGTCTGTTTTCCATTGCAGCGTGTCACAAAAGATCCCATCTTGAAAGTTGCCCAGGCAAAGGATGTGAGGTGGCTATCGCACCAGAAAGCTGTGGACACAGTCCGTCAGTGTTTACCATCACTGCTGATCAGCTTAGAGAGAGAGGCCGCAGAGAGAGGGGACCCCAAGGCAGTAGGTCTTGCATCATTCATGAAGACGTACAACTTTGCAGCCACTGTGTCTATGTTGAGTGACGTTCTACCCCATCTCACTAGATTGTCCTTGCTGTTCCAGGTAGTCAAAAAATGCTGTTGTAAATACTTCCAAACAAACTTAAAACAAATTGCAAAAAGGGAAAAAGATGTTTTTTTCCTCTTTAACATATACTAATGTAAAAGTTGTTTTTTTTGCAATTTGACAATTCCACTTCTGTTTTTGTTCAGTTGGACAACTATTTTGTTCATCCCATCTATTTTTCTTTTTCACCACTGAAAACAGAAAACCAATGTGGACTTCACTGTTGTGGACACTGTTGTACATGCAACTATAGCAGCAGTGGAACATCTCCGCGACCACTATGGACAACACATGACAGCTCTGTCGGCGTTTGTTGAAAAGTTGCGCAGTGAGGGAGTGACGGTTCCGCTGAATGCACACCAACAGTTTATTGAACAGGTATAGACATGTACTATTACAGATTTTTAAGCAAGTTACTTTATCAATACATTGTTTTACGTTTATTTATTTCACTAGTTTATGTTATATTTCTTTTGTATTGTTTTCTGAATTTTAATTATTGTCTTTATTGAGGTGTACAATCCATACATAACAAACGTCATGACCAACCTGCAAGACAGATTCCCTGACACTGGACTGCTGAAGAATTTCTCTTGCTTCGATTTCACATCAGCAGATTAGGAAACAGCAATTTCGGCTAATGCCACTGATCTCCAGGTAAGTGTCACGTGCATATATTAATGCCTCTCTCATTGTAATAGAGGATTTTAGGGGAAAGTTTTAGTCCTACTTCAGTTAAACCACTAATTGCAGACCATGCCTTTACCAATATCTTTGTGCTGTAGGAGCTCTGCCAACACTATGCCAGTTTGGTGAGTGAAGATGATGCCATGGCTGAGTGGGATCTTTTGGTCCCTCTTGTGAAGAAGAGGTCAGAAGAGTCATCGACATACAAGGAAACACTCATATTTGTGTCAAAGCAAACAGAGTTGCTGCCAAATCTATCCAAATTGGCATCAATTGCTCTGGTCCTACCAGGTTCGACTGCTGGTAAGTTATACTGGTCAACTGGGGATCTAAGGTGAAATGTTATTGAACAGTTGTACAAAAAGCATATGAGGATGAAAGTGTGAAAACTATATTATACACAATGTCCTGAATTGCACATGCACTCCCAATTATTAACTTTCACTTTTTTAACAACTCCAGACTGTGAGCGTGGCTTCTCCACAATGAAAAGAATAAAGACAGGGGCCAGGAACCGACTTGGAGAGATAACTCTCAACAGTCTTCTGGTCATTGCCATTGAAGGACAAGACTGCTGCTCCTTTGACTACGAGAAAGCCGCCACCATGTGGAGTCAAAGAAAGAAAAGGAGACTGGAAATTAAAAGTTTTTTTTTGCCACCATCATGATCATTATGCCACCATAGGCGATAAAAAGTCATCATTTATAGTCATTAATTCAGTCAACACTTTTATATAAAGAAGGTCCTTGAGACAACAGTAAGAGGTACCTTATATCAGTAATGGAAAACAATGAAGACTTAAGACCAACATTTTTCCTAATCCTTATGGAAAAGGATGTTGTATATAAACAGTTCTCTTATTATCAGGGTTTGACTATAATGACAAAGATTTCATGAAAAGGTAAACTTGGCGTAATAAATGCTTATTGAAGGACATCTAATGCTGACTACTGTGTTTTTTTTCTGGTAATGGAATTTTTTTTTTTTTTAATCCCACATTTAACAGGCCCACTTTCTGCACCATACTGTTTGCTCTTTTTCCATAAATTATGCTTCCAAATGGCCTTAGATTGCACCACAGAGTGTCCAGAATGTCAGAATTGTTCGGGGCCCTTGGGCGGGCCCCGGACCCCACGCCGTAAGGGCTTTCGCGCTTTGCGCTCGCAGGATCCATTCGCCGCAGGCCCCTATCCTTTAATTTCATCCTGGCTAGAACCCTGTATGTGTAGGCAAAAACCCTTAGTGATATAACTACAACAAGGCATGGATTTATCGCAAAATGGACTCAAATACCAGTATGTGGAATAAAAGATAACCAGATTAACCAGAAGAAAAGGCCTGATCTCTAGAAGGAAGTACAAACTGTACGTAAGATTGAACTATGGTTAGGCTGGGCTTAGGGTAATTTCGTCACATGGTACTTCAGGGCTTACACGGGGTACCACCATTTAGCCTCTGCTACAGAAGCGTGGCACAAATATGTCACGTGGTGAACATTCAGCTGTACCTAAGCCGGGATGAGTTATAGATGAAAATTGAAGTGACGTCATGATGATGTCATCATGGGTCATGTGCCGTCATGTTAAAAATGATTAGATTTAATCACTACAAAATCAACCGTGAGCGACCTGAACTTGACGTTTGCGGGAATGGATAGAATAATCCAGGGTCTTCATTGTTTATATTATGTGCAAAATCACTTGAACCTTCCTTCCGGTTGAAACCGGAAGTGCCTTGTAATTTAAAATTGGTGAAAGAAGTGAACTTGCTTTCAATGATGTATGCTCTGGATAAGTTGTTCTTTACCATAAAATTATAGTTATACATAAAAATTGATGTGACGTCATCATGACGTCATCACGTGACATGTGACGTCGTAATTCAAAGCCCTATGAGAATGTAATTACATAGTATATGCCACCATTTATTATAAACAGAACTACACAGCTTCCTTAATGGAACTTTTACTTGAAACTTTACATATCACACGTCACAAAACATTACCGAAACAGCCCTGTGTTTGTCCACAAAAAGTATACATCTAGTTTTTCAATTTTTTTCTTTCTTTACAGTGTTGTGCCAATGGAGTCAAACTAAGCAAGCTTGCGGAGGGGTGTGATGATACAGTAACTTCACTTGAAATGTTTTTCTCTGGATATGAAAATATCACAGGATTGAAGTTTTTCCCAAACTTGACTGCACTTATCCTAATGGGACAAGAAATCACAAAGATGGAAGGACTTTCTACCTGCAACCAGTTAAAAGAGCTATGGATTTGTGAGTGTAAAATTAAGGTAAAGATTACTTCTTTTCATAGTTTAGGCCAAAAAAAATAAATATTCAGTCTCTGGTCAGACCAAAGTTCCGGAATTGACGCGGCCACGCAGCTTTTTTTTTTTTTTTTTTTTTTTTTTTTCTTCAAGCTTGGATTGTACAGACAAGGTGGGGTACTATTTTGTTTTTTTTGGTGTCCTCATGTACATTGGTGTCCTCCATAATTTGCCTTGGTGCTTTCGATCATTTGCCTTGGTGCAATTTCCCATTCCTTGGTGCTCTTTGGTAAAAAACAATTGAGGAGGTGCGGATATAGAGGGCGCTGTTGGAGCTACCGCGGAACATTTTGGAAAAAAAAAGATCGACGCGCATGATTAAAATTGACGCGCGCGCTGACCAGAGACCGACTTATTTTTTTGTGTGGCCTTATTCCCCTCTTAGTCATGTTAGTTGTCATTAGCTAATTTCACAAGTTCACAATGCCAGCTACTAAATGGAACCTGGTAACTTTGGTGTCTACTTCATTCACTTGCCCAAATAGCTACTACATACGCATATTTATTCAGCTGACAGGCTCAAACGCTAACAGATTTAATCAACCATCGAGCACCCTTTCGGGGCCTACCCATTGTGCTACGTCATGAGTCCGCCATTATACTTCCTCTTTTTTTCTAGCGTGCAGCGTGCAGAAGTAAAAAAATTTTGCTCTCACCTTTTGACAAGTTTTTGTACAATTTTCGTTTTAAGAGTTTCTTTTCTATAGAATTTATTCATTAAGTGAGTTGTGTAGAATCTGTAGAGTTTGATTTTGAGTAAGTAGTTCTTCATTGGAGTGATTTTTTTGGTCTTTTGATTTTGTTTTTCTTTCACATGGCATAGCAGGTTTTTCAGCCTTTGTCTGACACCACGTGCAGCGGGCCAGGTTGGCGCCGTGGGGCTAACCCAGTGCCGGGAAGGCATCGTGGGTTCTCTCTCTGGGATCAAGTGCAATCCCTTTTTAGCCGAATTGGCTTTCTTGAGTTATTTTTATTATTACTTCTGTTTTACAGTTATCTAATAATAATATTTCTTTGTCAAAAACAATAATTTCATAATTATTAACTTGAAAAAATAAAAAAGACAGTGCATTTATTTTATGACTCCATAGACGGGACCTAAGCCAGCTGGCGTTGAGCATAACTTGCCTCGACACAGGTTCATCTCCCGAGTTATTTATCAAATCCGTCATCGTTGTTTCTGTAAAGGCCTTGGGGGAGACAGTGCGTCGTATCCCCGGAGAGAAGTGTGGTTATTCTCCACAAGGTCTGCTAGTCGCCCCATCAGGGCTCGAAATATCCACTAGACCATGGACCGTGTCTAGTGATTTCGGTGTTGGTCTAGTGCTGTGTGTGACTGCACTTGTCCGGTTGTCTAGTGTTTTTTCTTGCACTATATAAACCATTGCACTGAAATATATTAGCAGTTGAGGTTTGATTAATCGTGCTTTGAGTTCATTACTTGATTGATTAAAATTACCGACCAAAAAACTCCCTGTGCCGTGCCGAAACGCAACGAAGCTGCCTGGCCAACGCGCCAGTCATGCCAATTGCAGACATTAGCTGCATCGATGAACATGCATGCGTGCCTCGTGAGCGTCCTCTTTTCTCTTAGCGGCAGGTCGGGTAGGACGTGCGTTAAATAGCTCGCTGTTTGCCTCGTCATTTACTACCCTTTTTTGCGCTTAAGAGAAGTTTATAATAAAAAGAGTTAGTAATAAAAACAGTTTGTAGAGTTTCATCATCTTCTTGGTTCTATTTATTTCATAAATATGAAGTGTTTGGGGAGGGCCGATCTTTCACAAACCGGGGGGAATTCCTCTCCCACGGGACGGATCGAGTTCTCGGGGGACTCTGCCGTTAACGCTACGACGTTACCGCGGCAGCAGTCTCTCGTCCGGCACCCTCAGCCACAGTCGGCTAGGGGAGTTGGCAGTTCCGCCGATCAGTTAAGGGGACCTCTGTCACTTTCTCCAGTCAACTGCGGAACACCCAAACTAAAGGCACACTCCGGCAAGGTTCCTCCAAAACATATCTCCTGTGCCGGAGCAAAGCCTAAGAAGGGCCGTCAGGGCAAGCATGGCTCGGCAACGAGCGCCGCTGTGTCACCTGGCCCTCCCCCGATCACGGGGCAGCCCGAGGGGACTAGCCGTCACGCTTCGGTGGGCTCTAGTCACCCATGTCCTCCCGACACAGTGCCGAACACCACTGGTTGTCGGGATGGGCTATTACACGGGCTACCGGCCCGTCCAGCGCTCACTCAGCCCACGGGGCCTGAGGCGCTGTCGGCCTCCCGACACAGTGCCGAACACCACTGGTTGTCGGGATGGGCTATTACACGAGCTACCGGTCCGTCCAGCGCTCACTCAGCCCACGGGGCCTGAGGCGCTGTCGGCCGGGTACATTATGAGCGATGCGGAGCCGGTCGACCGGGGGGATCTCGGACCGACGGCCCCCGTGCTATCTCGCTCAGAGGGACGACTCTCATCATCGGATTTTTTTCCGTTGTTCGGGGGTCCCGGTGCCCCAGGTGTCTTCTGACTTGTAGTCAGACACACCCTGGGGCCGTTCTTCAAAGAGGAATAGCAAGAAGAAGAAAACTGATCGCCGATTACGCCGTTCTTCTTCAGATTCTGACGGTTCCTCTGACCGGTCCCACCAGGGCAAACGCTCCTGACGTGAGGACTCGATCTCGAGGTCTGTTTTTCTGCAGGCATTTCAGTCGATTTTACCTACACTATCGGCTATGTCTGCAGGACGCCAGACGGGCCCTAATGGTGGCCCCCCTGGAGTGGCGAGCCACGCCCCACAACCCTCGGTTGTTGGTCTAGCCTTACAGTCTCTGGGCACCGGTCACGGTTGGGTGACCCGTGAACAAAGGGACATACCGCACACAGTTAGCCATGCTCCTGGAGTCTTTATGTGCAGTGAATGCTTCATAGTAGTCATTCATTGGTCACGATTGCGTGGCCCAAGGACAACGAGGTACATGTACAAAAATGAAAAAACACATGTTCATACATGTACATGTTCATGTTTACCACACATGGTTGCGCGCTATACCGGAAGCCCGGCCTACGGCGAGCTGGACTTCACATTCGCCGGCCGTGGGCCACGGTCGCGTGGTCCAGAGACAACGGGACCTACTGCGAACAGTTAGCCGTGGGCCAGGATCCCCGCTTGTGTTTAGTCTTCACCATCTGCATAATATTATGTACAATGTATGTCTATTATCTCCGAGGGTGTTGCCCAGCCACCACCGCGTGGTTCTGTACAACTAGCCCCTCCAGACGGCTCTCAGTCAACGGGGTCATTTTGGCCTTCGCATTCGGCTGATTCATCCGATGATGACGAAGAATCAGACCGGTTACAATGGCTGTCCATCGCGGAAACGAAATTCCGTTTGCTGCAGAGGGACATTACACGGGTACTTAAATCACCCTCCGCCGATGAGCCCCCTCCGCCTGATCAATTTTCAAATCAAGCGCAGGACGGGCTCCACATCTAACAATTACAAGGTGTTCCCCATACCTCCGTTGGATCAAATGTGAAACACATCGACAACGGACAAAGTGGTGTCTATTTCTCAGGCGGGAACAGCTTCATTATTTTTTTTCTAATCCGGGCGAGTTTATTGCACCGATCCCACCGCGGCATACGCTACCGGGATGAGGACTCGGTTTTTCAACCCACTCATTACAAGCCTTGCAATTGTTCTCGGCTTTATTATCGGTCATATACGTTTTATACACGTACATGCATTGCCAAGCGGGCACGTTAATGAAACGTCCGTCTTAGTTCAGCTGCGAGCCGTGAACTCTGTAGCCCTCTACATTAATCACGGTTGGGTGACTCAAGGACAATGGGACACGCCGCGCAGTGCTTAGCCGTGCGGCGGTGTTTCTTGCTGTACTGAGATCACTACATTTTTCATGTACATTGTACATGTGTGCATTACTTGTGTATGTACACTGTCCATTGTCTCTGAGGGAGTTGTTCAACAACTGACTGTGGCCGTGTGCAACTCGTCCCTCCAGATATGTTTTACGGTTCTCGTTTACGGGGTCTATTCGACTCTTGCAGGCATGTTGTGGACCACATTCGAAAGATTGTGCCTGTATTCAAACTGCCTGCTGCTCTTCAAGCAATAATGTGATCATTACCGTTTTCCGTTAGCGAAATTCGGTATTTTTTTGTCACATCTTCCCTCTTCAATGCAGCTAAGCACAAGCTGCCAGCAGTATTATTCAAGCGGCTCTTCGTAAATAATACTCGCAGAAGCTTGAATACACTTTGCAGTAGAATTAAAGTGGGCTCGGCGATACGCGTTCAGCCTCCCTCTTTACCCTCATGAAGTACATTAGGTTTAATGTTTTAATCTTAATGTTGACCGCTATTTTCTTTATCAATTTCACGGTCTGCACTCAGTACTCTATAATTTTACACGAGTGCAGACCCTAGCAATCTTGGCCCGCCGGGGTAACATGATTGATGAACTGTTTCTCCCATCAAAGGGCGCCCGCCAAAGATTCGAGTCCCACCTTTGAAGTTTTTAACAGACAAAGATCTTTTCTTTTGCGGTGGATATCGATGTTTACATCCATATTGGTCGATGTCGACTACATGTGGGCCAGCGCAGGTGAAGAACAAACAGTTGTTTGTTTTCTCAACTGCATACCTCTTGAAGTTTGCCCAGATGATTTTGTGTGGCCGTGCTAGCAACATTTTCTGTACGCCATGCCACATAGGATAATGTAACAACGATTTCGATTCCGCTTCAGTTGTTTTGATGATTTCCATAAGTGACCTACCTGACTCATGACGACCTCCACCCATCTGTCTCGTAGGAGCTTGTCAGAGAGACTTTGAGGCTGACATCAATACCATCGGGCCAGCACAGTGTTGCGCCCATCTTGTATTTCCCTTGGAAAGATGTTGAAGAGATTTAGTCGACTGTCTAACACATCAACATGGGGAATGAGCCC